CTTTCCCGCGTGGTACCCACGTAAGAGCCCGCCAAAGTTTTTCACGGGCAAGTTGACAACTCGCGAACCAGAAGAGCTAGAGAGCTGAAATTTTATGGAAGTGTTCCTCGTTCAAGTAGGTACTAATGAGCTCAAATCCAACCCCAGGATAAATGTGGTACCCGCGTATGAGCCGCCAAAGTTTTTCTCGGGTAAGTTCATAACTCGACGATCTGAGATGCTAGAAAACTGAAATTTTAAGGGAATGTTCCCCGCCCAAGTAGGTAGTAATGAGCTCAAATCCAATTCTCGGGTAAACGCGGTACCCGCGTACAGGTCTGCCAAAATTTTCCCCGGGTGAGTTCATAACTCGGGGATCTGAGATTCCAGAAGATTGTAATATTAAAAGAGACACATATTCAAACTACACCAACTGCAAGTCGCAAGACATTTCAAAACGCTACGTTTTTTGTCGCTTTGCAGCTGAAGAAATTCAAGGGTACAAGTGAAATCTCACTAATTTAGCAATATATATATATATATATACATATATATATATATATACATACATACATACATATATATATATCGATGTTGATGAACAATAAGATTCTTTTTAGCTGTAAAATCAAAAACCGAAAGCCGAAAACCCTGAACTAATACACAATACGTAAAATGTACCCAGAAATGTCTGAAATTCCGAGTCATAATCCTGGCTAACAGGGCAAGGAAAACGCGGCACGGTTACCAGTAACAATGTTAATAGTCTTCACTATTCAAACAAAACCATGACTGATATTTGCAAGCCAAGATGGAACTGAAACCACTCCCAAGGAAAGAAGAATGGAAAGCTGGTTTGTCGGTAAAAATGCGTCAACTCAAAACCCGTAAATCATAAAAAAAAATTTAATGCGAAAATCAACAGAAAAAATACTAAATTTTACAAGTTGGAAGCATTACATCCACAACAAAAACCATCCTCAAATGCGGCAAACAAAAAAGTTGGAATACAATTCGAAAATTAAAATTTCGTTTACTTTGACCTTAAAAACAAAAATAAATAATTTACAGGCAGAATTATTCAGACCAATCAAACAAATTAACAACACTTGAGATTCATTAACAACAACTTTTGTAGGTTTATCGGTAGCTCTCAGCTAGTCAGCCGCAGAATAAGCAATTGCTCCCGAAACAAACTCTGATGATGTATCGGCCACTTCTTGATTTTGATCAGCGGAGGATTCTTCAAATTCGATGCAGTTCTAAACAGCACTGGATTAAAATAAATGGATAAAAATAAAATGTAAAATGCGTGAACCATGTAAGATCTAGACAAAAATAAGCTGGAAAAAGATTGCTTGCCAGCAAATAAGAAAAATATTCTGCCCCAAAGACACACTGTTCAGAGTACAGGGTCGACAAATCCATCACGACAAACTGTACGTTTTATCCAGAGAACTAGTAGAACAAAACAAACTTCAGCTTTCGGAAGTACACTATGAAAAAACAAAATTTTCAGACATCGAGAACTCCAAATTTGCAGACAAACAGAATTAATTTTAACAATGAATACCTGCAAAGCAGCACAGTAATGAAGCATAAGAACGGCAAGGGCTTGCAATCGGTCGTCCAATTTCGCGAAGCTATCAGAACCAGTCAAATGAGTATTTTCATCTTTCATGCATTCCAATGCACGCAGACGTTCAACAGTTGTTTGACTGATAATCTTTTGGATCTTTTCTATCTGAAAATAAAACCAGTTTATTCTTCAGTTATACCAGAGCTGGCTAACTGCCCCATTATAACCATGATACACTTAAAATGAACAAAATGCTAAAGATGCAAAATGAACGAAATAAAACAGTAAATCAGCTCATCGAGCAGAGGAGTTATGTAAAACACTGAGTTTCTTTGGAGTCTCAGCTGCAAGAAAATGAGGTTAACATTGAAGAAGTTTGACAGTTATATCTACTACGCAAATATATTTCATACAATCTCTCCGGAAAAAAAGCATAACCAAAGGCTGGTGGATGACGTAAACACAACAGCGTTTTAAACATGTTAAAAATATAAACCCGTATAACGAAATCCGTTCCTTCAACGTCCCAACGTTGGAAACACAGAAAAGTCACTATGATACAAAACTGGAAGAAGTAAGGCTGATTTTGACGTTCAAGACATCGAAAAAGAGGATGCGCAGTGCACTGTTCAATGAATAAATTATGCTCGTATACTAAGTAGCATTCGTTAGGTGAAGCATATTAGCTGTCTTGACAGATAGACAACATGAAACGGAAAAGCTACAGTTCAAAGACGTTCAAAGCGAGGCTTAAATCTTGGTAATGACGCTAGATAAAAGAAAAGACACGTTTCAAGCACGCAAATGCTTTACAGGGTAAAATTAATATATCCTCCTGTTACTGGACTCTCCAGGAATATTACACGTATAGCTAAATTCTCCGTAATGTACCAAACCATAGATGGAACAGCTGCGAAATCGGATGGTACAAACAACACACTAGAAAATTACGTCGTCATTTATTCGCGCTTTTCTGGCAACTGGATCCAAATCAAAGAACAAGTGTCGACCAGTAATTTTTGCTGCACTGATCATATGTTCATTGTATGCATTTCCTGGCTGATACATCATTTGACTTGCCTCACCCGAAAGTTTCAATTGCGAAAAAACGTCCGGAATGGTGTTCTGTAAAAAGAGATGACTGCATTTGATGAGCACTGTCCAGCGCGCCTTCTAAAGCTCGTGAATTGACTCAAATGCGTATAGTAAAAAATAGACAGAGAGGCACAAATTTCGAAAGAAAATAAATGGCCAGCACACCGACTGCCGATGCAAAGATGCATCTTTTGCATAGTTCCCCGTAGGTTTTTGTCACTAACAGTACCGGTTTTCCTGCAAAATACTTCTAGCTAAGATAAGTGAGACTATATCTGAAAATATCCCTTTAAAATTTCAACTTTCTAGCTTTCCTGGTTACCGAGTGAAGAACTTACGTGCAAAACACTTTTGCGGGCCCGTATACAGGAATCACGCACATTCGAGGGTCGGGTTTGAACTCACTAACATCTATCTGGAAAGGGAACATCTCCCTAAAATTTCAGCCTTCTAGTTTCTCATTTTCCCGAATTAGCAACTTACCCGAAAAAAAATTTCACGGGTCCATGCGTGGGAACCACGCACACCCGTGGGCTAGTTTTGCGCTCACTAATACCTACGTGGATATGAAACCTCTTTCCTGAAGTTTCAACTTTCTAGCCTTTCTGGTTCACGAGTTAGCAGCTTCTCTGCTCAAAACTTTGGAGAGCCCGTACATGGGGCCCATTTTTTGGGACTGGGCCCGCACGTGCACGTAGATTAAGTTCCCGAAATTTCAGCCCTATAGCTTTCACAGGTCTTGAGATGAAAAATCGGTATAGACGAACACCCAGACACACACACACACACACACACACACAGACAACCCCTCGTCAATAGTGCGTTTTCTGCACTGCATAAATGCAGACTCCGGGTTTTCTGCACCGCATAAAAAAAACAAACCCCGGGTTTCTTAAATACTCACTTCAACTGGCACAAGGTCCTGACTGAATTCCGTCTGAATAGTCGGGGTTGCCCTTCCTGAAACATGTTTATCTAGAAACGTCGTTATGGTATCACAGTGCAAAAGTAATTTGGGTCGCTAACCTTCCACTTCTTTCCGATTTTGTTTTGGAGTACGAAAAGATGCCCTTTTACGTCCAACGCTTTTCCAAGTAGAACTTAATCTTTCCGACACTTTCACCGCAATACGGTGTCGTCGAGTTAGCGGGCGCTCTTCCTGATCTGTAAAAGAAATAATTGGCCAACGTACGGGCTGCCCGTGCGAAGATGCGTTTTTTGCATAGTTCCCCGCACTTTTTGTCGCTACCGGTACCGGTTTTCTCGGCAAATGCTTCCAGCTAAACAAATTCAAACTGGCCGCCAGAACTGTCAGGAAACATCCCCTTAAAATTTCAGCTTTTTAGCTTTCCTGGCTC